GATTTTTTTTGCCATATTTTTAATATTTCATGGTGAGGGGCACATCAGTTGGGTTGAACAGACAGGAAGGGAACCAAGATTTCACAAAATAAAAAATGCCTCCAAACTACAACTAAGATCTTAATGCATCATCAAGTCTTGTTAAATTTGTGTTCCGCTTGCCTCCCACATGAGCCACAAATAGATTGCCTATCTTTCCCCCAGGAACTAACAACAAAGAACCCTTGGCACAGCAAACAGCATCACTCCCATTACCCATATACGACTAGCCATATCTCTGCCAAGACAGTATTAAGCGGGTGGATGGACAAATGCAGTAAAAAGTTAAACCTACTACAAAAAAAGACTTTGAGAAGAGAGGAAACAAAACTTCAGAGAAAGGGACATTAAATTATCAATGAATAAGAATGGAGAATTCAAGATGGAAGCAGGTGCAATCACACTACAATGAATATTTGCTTATGAGCAGGTTAAAGGGGGAAACTGTACATTCATTTGGCAGAAAAGGTCTGGAATCATATAATCATAGTTGGAAGGGACGCAAAAAGTCGTCCAGTTCAACCCTCTGCAATGCAGGAATCTCAAGTTAGCCATCCAACCTGTGTTTAAAAACCACCAAGGAAGGAAAGTCCATCACCTCTTGTGGGAGTCTGTTTCACTGCTGAACAGCTCTGTCAGAAAGTTTTCCCAAATGTTAATTGGGATCTCCTTTCTTGCAACTTGAAGCCATAGGTTTGAGAGATTGTTGTTAGCCGCCCTGAGCCCGGCTTCGGCTGGGGAGGGCGGGATATAAATAAAATTTATTATTATTATTATTTATTATTACCCCCCCAGAGCAGGAGAAAACAAGCATGCTGCCTTCTCCATGTGACAGCCCTTGAGATATTTGAAGATGGCTATCATATCTCCTCTCAGACTCTTTTCCAGGCTAAACATACCCAGCGCCTTCAAGCGCTCCTTATAAGGCTTAGTTTCCATATCCTTGATCATCTTGGTTGCTCTCCTCTGCACATGTTACAGCTTGTCAACATTCTTCTTAAACTGTGGTGCCCAGAACTGGACACAGGATTCCAAGTTGGTCTAACTAAGGCAGAATAGAGTGGTACTATTATTTCCCTTGATCTGGACACTACACTTCTGTTGATGCAGCCTAGAATAGCATTAGTTCCCCCCCTCCCCCGCTGCTGTATTACACTGTTGACTCATGTTCAGCTTGTGGTCCACCAAGACCCCGTGATCCTTTTCACCCGTACTGCTAGTAAGCCAGGTGTCCCCCATCCTATATTTGTGCATCTGGTTATTTCTGCCTAGGTGCAGAACCTTACATTTGTCCCTATTGAAATAACACTTTGTAGCTTGTGCCAAGTTCTCCAAACTGTTACGGTCATTTTGAATTCTGATTCTGTCTTCTGAGGTATTAGCTACCTCTCCCAGTACTGTATGGTGTTATCAACTTTGATGAGCATCCCCTCAATCCCTTCATCAGTCATTTATAAAGATGCTGAACAACGGGCCCAGGACAGAACCCTGCAGCACCCCCCTTTTTACTTTTTTCCAGGATGATGAGGAACCATTAATGAGTACTCTTTGGGTTCAGTCAGTCAACCAGCTACAAATCCACCTAACAGTTACCTCATTCAAACCACATTTTACCAGCTTCCTCTTGAGAGTATCATGAGGTACTTTGTCAAAAGCCTTACTGAAATCAAGATACACTGTGTCCACAGCATTTCCCCGATCCACCAAGTTTGTAATTCCTTCAAAAAATAAATCAGATTGGTCTGGCATGACTTATTTTTGAGAAACCCATACTGGGTCTTAGTAATCACAGAATCCTTTTCTAAATGCTCACAGACCCGACTGTTGAATCATCTGTTCTACGACCTTCCCTGGTATCAATGTCAGGTTCCCCGGTCAAGTAGTTACCTGGGGACAACATACCTTTCCTCCCTTTTTGAAGATGGGGACAACATTTGCCCGCATCCAGTCTGTAGGGACTTCACCTGTTCTCCAAAAGTTCTCAAAGATAATAGACAAAGGCTCCACAAGCTCCTTTAGTACCCTTGGATGCAGCTCATCAGGCTCTGGAGATTTGAATTCATTTAAAATAGCTAGGTGTTCCGGGAAGAATGGCAGATGAAGCTAATGGACTACATGGAGTTGGCGGAAATGACTGGCAGAATCCGAGACCAGGGAGAAGAGTCGGTGGAAGAAGATTGGAAAAAATTCAAAGTATATTTACAGAAATACTGTAAAATTAATTAATGTTAGAAGGATGCTGGAATGAAGCTACATGGTTTTAGCAGAAATGTTATAAAGAACTAAGTAAAAATAGATTGTCAATGGGCCAAAGTGTAAAATTTGAGATCAGATTGTGTTAAGATATATTATAGAACAAAAATTGAGAAAGATGGAAAGGATTTGCTGAAATAGCTAATTGAACTAGAATACAAAAAAAGGAGGTTTGAGGAGGTCGATGAAACAAGTAAATGAAAGGTAAAGATACGGAAATATTGGATGTGTTTTTAAGTGTTTTTGTTTTTCTTATTGTTTTGCTGTATTGTTTTCTGTTTTTCTTTTTATTTTTGATGTATTGTAACTTTTTATTGTCTTTTTCCCCTTTTTTTGTAACTATTAAACGTCTAATAAATATCTTTTAAAAAATAAAAAATAAAATAGCTAGGAGTTCCCTCACTACCTCTTTTCCTATCTTGGTCTGCAGCTCCCTCCTTACATTATTTATTCTGTTATCACCAGGTTGAGCATCGTTTTCCTTTTGGGTGAAGACAAGGCCAAAGTAGGTGTTGAGTAGTTCCGCTTTTTCTCTGTCATCCAATAGCATTTCTCCGTCTTCCCCACACAGAGGACCTACCACGTGCTTGTTCTTCCTTTTACTTCAGACATAGCCGAAGAAACCTTTTTTATTCTTTTTAACTTCTCTTTCAAGCCTAAGCTCATTTTGCCGTTTAGCCAGCCTGACTTTCCCCTGCAACTGTTGGCTACACGTGTATACTCCTCCTCTGTGATTTCTTCTTTCTTCCACTCTAGGAATGACCCCTAGAGTTTGTACAAAGTAAACTAGCATAAAAAAAAACAGAAGAGAAGAGAATTGAAAGGTTATGGCTTCATCCCTATGAGGAATAGGCAAAAGAAGAAGAATTATCTGCAAAAACAAGACAGACATTTAAAGAAAGGAATGGAAGTTGTGTATGAGACAATCAAAACAGTTGCATGGAGAATTACAAAAGAATTACTAATGTCAGTATGATTCCTGTAAGAGAAATGGAATGAAAAGTCAAGATGTGATAAATGTACCATTGAGAAATTTAGAAAACAAGCAGCAAAATACTGGAACTATAGGCAATTTAATCTGAGAAAGATATGATAATCATGAAATTAAGCTGAATGCGCTGCAATCCTATACACCCATACCCTAGAGCATGGGTAGGCAAACTAAGGCCCGGGGGCCAGATGTGGCCCAATACCTTCTAAATCCGGCCTGTGGACGTTCCGGGAATCAGCGTGTTTTTACATGAGTAGAATGTGTCCTTTTATTTAAAATGCATCTCTGGGTTATTTGTGGGGCATAGGAATTCGTTCATCCCCCCACCCTCAAAATATAGTCCGGCCGCCCACGAGGTCTGAGCGACAGTGGACCGGCCCCCTGCTGAAAAAGTTTGCTGACTCCTGCCCTAGAGAATGAAATGGGGCTTACTTCTGAGTCTTAGGCTGCAATCTTGAACCCACTAACAGGGGGTAACACAGAGAGATTGTGAGTTGTCAGGAAAGGGCAATATCCAGTGTTGTAAGATAGGAACAGGAAATAATGTTGACTAGTAGGGGAATGGTAACAAGGGGCCTGGTCAAGATTAAAGTAAAAGCAAAAAACCATCAAGGAACGATGAGAATCAAGTATTTATGACAGCCTCACTGTGTCTGTATGAGGGAATACAGACATGAATTTGATTTAATAGACAAGGTAGGTAAGTAAATACCGGGAGTTTCATGCATGCTGGCAGCTAAGCCACATTATGACAAACAATAGGTAATATTTGGAAAACAATGCCAAAGAAACTGTGAGGCAACTGTATTACAGTGATAAGCAGCTGTCATGCAGGCCCCTGAAAGCAGTGTTTACCTGTTACAGTATTTATTAGAAAGCGAAGAGAGAGTAGAAGCTGAGCAGAAATGGTGGACGGCAGGAGGCAGAAGCCAAAATTGGGCATAGAACAGGCCAGGATATGAGGAGATGAATATGCATGGCGGAGGCCGGTGCGTGCAGCAAATGCGTTTGCGAAATGGGAGAGGCGGAGGGGCAAGGCCCTTAGAAAGGCTGCAATCCTATGCACACTCATTTGGACAAGGAAGGAACGCCTTGCCCAAAAAACCCATGGGCCCGACTTAAAAATAAACCATGCGGGCGGCTGCAGGGGCGCATCTTCAGGATCCGTTGGAACTGATGAGCGCAACGCCTCTTCCTCCCCACCCCCCGCCGTTGAGATACGCATGTTTACTTCGGAAATTGGAGCGTTGTTTTGTAGCTTGGCACTGCACGAGTGGTTTGAAACACCCACATACACCCACACCCCTTCCTAGCCCTCTGGAAGAAAACTACGGGGAGGGGTGTGGGCCGACCCCGACTACAGCCCAGGGGAAGCGGCGGTGGCGGTTCTCCCGGACCAATTTCCTAGCGCGGACATGACAGCGTGCAAGGAAGAGCGTGTGAACGGGGCGGGTGAACAGGGGCTGACACGGGGTGACGCATCTAGGCGACCTCCTGAATCGCGTGTGTCGGTGTCCGAAGAGAGCAGCCGGCGGCGGAAGCGTCTTCCTCAGGGGCGTGTGAGGGCCCTCAGCCACATGGGTTTTAAAAATTTATTTAAATAAGAAAGACACAGGAGGAGGAAGGCGCCAGGGCCGGAGTAGCCCCCACCCGCCTCGCCCTCCTCTGAGGCGACGCACGAGAGAGACGGGGTCGGGATTAGGCCTCTCCCATTTACCTTTTTTTAGCGACGACAACACGGGGTTCAAAATCCTCTCACCGGACGGCGCTGCCCGGGGTGTGGAGGGGGGAGGGGAAGGGGGGAGGAGGAGGAGGCGGCGGCGGCGGCCGCGAAGCCAACCACAGCCCCGCCGCGCGCGTGCGCGTAAACACACACCTACAAACTCACTCAGTGGCTCTGAGGACCCAGCGCTGGCCCCGGCCCGCCTGCGGCCTCCCTCGCCCGCCCCTCCAGCGGAGCCCAGGCCTCCACCGCTGCCATTGGTCCGCAGTCCTCGCACTTGGGCGGGTCAGCCAATCCGGCGCGCCTCCTGTTCGCCCCCCCTCTCTCTCACACACACACTTCTTTTGAAAGGGTGGGGCGCGTGCGCGAGAGCCTGAGAGAGGAAAGGGCAGCGGAGCGAGGGCGAGAGAGTTGGGGCTGGTGGTGTTTCGGAATTCTGATTGGCGGGGATAAGAGCTCCGCCCAATAACACCGCCCCCTTCCTCACCCCGTACGTCTTCTTCGTTTACCCACCTCCCGCCTCTTGGAGAGCTCATTGGCTGGAGTCATCCGCCTTCGTTTCGCCCCTGCGTCCCTCCCATTGGCTAACAGAGTCTAGGGCAAAGCGGAGTGGGTGAGAGACAAAAACCAAGCCTCGTCTCTCTCTATCTCGCTCAAACGCGGACGTGATTAGGGGAGGGAGCGCCTGCGCGAGCGGGCCGGGAAAATGGAGGAGGCGGGATTAAGAGTCTAAGGTGGGGTTTCGATTGGCGGAGGCGACTCGCTCGTTGGCGTTTCTCCCGTAGCCTGCGTGACGCAACGACGTCGCAACGTCTCTGTCGAGGCTCTCTCCCAAGATGGCGCCGCGCAGAGGTTGTCGTTGATGCCTCGACGCGTTTGGCTCCCTGTGGCGCGTTGCTTCAGTGAGTCGTTCTGGGGAATGCGAGTGGCTGAAAGAGGGTTACGGGGCCCCCGGAAGTCTTCTAAAAAGGGGGACCCTCCTAGAAAGAGCTTGTGGCGGCGACAGTAACGATGGTTGGAAACGCGTTTGCTCCACTCTTCCCGTTTTTGCCTCAGCCCCTCCTGAAACCGCCTTAAAAGGGCTCTTGAGGAGGTTTTTGATAATAATAATATGATGACAATGATAATATATTTATAGCCCGTCCATCTCGCTGGGTTTCCCCAGCCACTCTGGGCGGCTTCCAACAGAATATTAAAAACGATAAAACATCAAACATTAAAAACTTCCCTAAACAGGGTTGCCTTCAGATGTCTTCTAAAAGTCAGATAGTTGTTTATTTCCTTGACATCTGATGCTAATGATATAAAGGATGTTACCGGCAAAAGCCTATGTCATAATAAAATAGTAAATTTTAAGGTGCCGCAAAACGCTTTGGTTGTTTCCTGTTATTTGTGTGTGTGACATTTTGTGTGGGAAACTGTTGTCTTCTGGTCATATAACTAAATCCTTCTCTCCCCCCCCCCCAAAGGTTCGGACGTTGCCTTGTAAAGAAGCCAACGCTTGAAAACCGGGAACCGTTTGGCATCAATAAATGAAGGAAACAAAAGAGAACTCCAGCCCTTCTGTAACATCGGCAAACCTGGACCACACGAAACCATGCTGGTACTGGGATAAGAAAGACTTGGCTCATACACCATCACAGCTAGAAGGACTCGATCCAGCTACCGAAGCAAGATATCGGAGGGAAGGTGCTCGCTTCATATTTGATGTGGGAACCCGTTTGGGACTGTATCCTTTCAGTTGGGTGTTGCACAGTTGGTTGGGTATTGCTCTTTTTTTTTAGCAGTTGAGAATTCAATTACGATTGCTCTGAATACTTTAAAGTCAGGCAAAGTAGGTGTTGTGTAGTTCCACCTGAATACTTAAGTCAGGGTTTCAATAGCTTGTGTGCAGTGATCTGGTGAAGTGGCTTATAGGATGGGAGGGAGAGTACCCTCTTTCCCCTTCCACCCTAATACTGGGGACAGTCATGAAATTGCTTTCTTGCAAAAGTGTCAAGAGAAGTTCATTGCAATGGATCTGCGACACTGGCACTATGCATGGGAGTGCATTCTTTGCAAACGACCCTATGTAGATGCATCATCATTAAAAAAAGTAAGTTGTCATCATTGTGTTTTGATGCATCATTCAGTCTCATTTGCAGTTAATCTTTAGAGCTGGGTTTGAGCTAAAATCTGTTCAGAGCCTTATCTTGTAATCCAGACATTATGATACGCTAGCAACTGGGATAATTTATTTTCATCGATTTTATATGTTCCATTCCTTCAAGCAGTTTCCAAGATATGTAAGTATAAATATGCTGTTTTTATTCAAAAACTGTTAATAGTACTCTGCCATTCATGTGTATTGTCCTAAACCCAGAAGTGACCAGAAAACATCACAAAATGCGGCAGAGTGGGGAGTTTGCAGGCTTTTTCATTGATGGTTCAAATATATGCCATTTCACTAGTGTGCAGGTGCCTCTAAACGTAACCCCTACGTAAATGTGTGTGTGTGTGTGTTTGTGTGTGTTTGCCTGTACAGTCCATAATTCAAACTATAGTTAGGCTATAGCTTAGCATTTTTGCTGGGATCATACCATAATATGTTACATTATATAGGGACAGTTTATTTTGCAAATTAAATTTCTACCAGTCGACAAATCTGAGGGTGAAATTGGTGATTTCATAGTTGTACCTCGGCTCCCAAAGCCTTGGGAGTCGAATGTTCCAGCTCCTGAATGATCGAAAACCAGAAGTGAGTGTTCCAGTTTTCGAATGTTCTTTTGGAAGCTGAACGTGCGATAGGGCTTCTGCTGTTTCCGATTGGCTGCAGGAGTTTCCTGCAGCCAATCAGAAGCCAACCTTTGGTTTCTGAACATTCAGGAGGTCAAACGGACTTGCAGAACAGATTCTGTTTGACTTTTGAGGTACGACTGATACCTCGGAAGTCAAACGGAATCTGTTGCAGAAGTCCATTCGACTTCTGAAAACATTCAAAAACCAAGGCACGGCTTACAATTGGCTGCAGGAACTTCCTGCACTCAGTCAGAAGCCATGTCAGACATTCAGATTCCAAAGAACATTCACAAACTGGAACACTCGCTTCTGGATTTGCGGCGTTCGGGATCCAAGGTACAACTGTGTAGTGATTACATTGCCAGTAGGTGGCCTATTAGAAACAGAAGATTGAACTAGGTGGAATATAATGTAAAATCATGTTCCTATGGTCCCAAGTTGTAAAGGTCATATGAATGCCACTGTTACACTTCATTGTGTGCTCTCACAAGTGGCACAACCCATTATTGTGTGGACAAATCCGGCATGACACGATGCCATTTTTGTTTGCAGAATTATTTCATGGCTGGCAATGCTAGCTACTATGGTTTCTGGAAGCTCTTTTATTCTCATGATGCATTGACCTTGGTCAAGTACAGCAATAAAATCTTATACAACTTTCCAAAATACCGGTGGTGATGGTGAACAGTTAGTAGGGGCTTCAGTGTGGTGTGCATAGTCCCACTTGTGCCTGCAAAGGCCTTCCCTGACACCCACGGGACCCTCCTCCCTCTCTTCACATTGCTTGAAAGAAGCATTTTATTGCAGCAAATAGAAAAGGTTGTAGTGTGTGCTTGGTTTCAATCTGAGTATCGTGCCCTTGACAGTTTTTCCAGTTTGCAAATGTGTCCATGGGCCCCAAATAGTTGACAGCCCATCACATCGATCAGATATATATTTTTTGTTTTGTATGAGTGGATAATCTGTTCTTCTTTTATAAAATAAAATTATTATTTCCTCTGAATTTTATATTTGGGCAACTTTCTAAAGGAGATCTCTCTATCTATCTCTCTCTATAGGTGACTGGAGCTTGCTGTCTCTTCCTAGCAGGAAAAGTTGAAGAAACACCCAAAAAATGTAAAGATATAATCAAAACAGCTCGTAGTTTATTAAATGATGTGCAGTTCGGGCAATTTGGAGATGATCCAAAGGTAAACGGACATGTGCTAAGGATGCTTTAGCTTAAGTTAACATGGTACAACCTTAGTAATATTGTCTGTAGATATCTAGTATAGCATATGATTTTAGTGATAGTGTTAGAGTAAAATAGTGTGAACTAGAAGTCTTCTTAAGCTAGATAAAAAACTTGATATTTTTAAAATAAAATATTACTAGGACCTTTCATCAGTATTTAAACAGCTGGAAGATATTTCAGTGGTTGGGTTCATTTAGATAGTATTTTTGCCATATGTTATTTTCAAAGGCGATGTGTATTGCAGTGCTTGTGTGTTGTTCTCCTTTGCGTTTGCCTGTCTTTTCAGCAAAGAAATAATCCACTGCACAGGGGAAGCAGTGAAACTGGCCACACAGAGTGCAGCCATATGCATACAGTAAGCAAACTGGAACAAATACACTTTTGTCACTTATTTCTTTGTTATAGTTATAATAGGCATTTTGTCAGCCACGAAGTCTTCAGATGACTTAGATATAAAGTTAATTTTCAAAAAAATAACATATGCTGGAAAGTCTTGCAGGTTAGCATGAATATAGTATTTCATTGGCTTTTTTCTGCATAATTTGGTAAACAGTGTACATGTCTTGCTAGACAGTGCTGCCACATTATTTGTGAGTAACTTTGGATGTTTGGAAGCTTTTGAACACCTCTTGGAGCAACTCCCTGTAAATATCACTGTGGTTGTCTATTTTTTGTGTAAATTTCTGTAGACCCAAGCTTTGAGCTAGTCATAAGGCACTCAGATAGCCAGTATTAGTAATAAGGAACTGCTTGTCCACTTTGACTTCTGAGAATGTTTCCTCCAACTTTACTTGGAGTTTTAGGCTAAGAAGCTCCCGTCACAGTTTGATGGCTGAACAAGCATTTGGTTCCACTCCTCCCATCTTCTCATAGCCATGGATGGTTGCCTGGCTCTCGCACCTAGTGCTATAAGTAATGGGGGGAAATGAAAGAATATGCTCAGGGAGTACTGTCAACCTCCAAAGTATCCCTTTATGAAGGATATTTTACTTTGGCTGTTGGAAGTCATTCCTGAAATAATTGAAATCCGGAAGCTCGTATTTCTTTTCCTAGTAATTAGCATTTGACTGCACTTCTGTGCAGTTTCACTCTTTCCCCAAAACTGTGCT